CCGGCGGCGGGGACCAGCTCATAGCTACGGCGGCAGCAGCGTCCAGCCCAGGGCAGCCCTCACTGCCAAGGCAAAGAAGTGGAAATCTGTGATCCCTCTTTCTCCCTCGTCTCCTCTCTGTATCTCCGAATTTCCATAGGACACACAGACCCCAGAGCATCCGCTGAGCTTCGCGGTTACTGTGAGACAACCTCAGAGCAGCTGGGGCGAAGGGAGATGCCGCGGTGGGTTGGGGATGCTCCCAGGGATGGTCCGGGGCAGCTCTGCTTCAGGGGATGCTCCGTCATATTCAGCAGAGCACGAGAGTCTGGGGACAGCAAGAGGTGAGCAATTACCTCCCAATGAGTTAATTACGTACAGAGACAGCACAAGGCTGATTAAAAAAAAAAAGGCATCACAAACTTAAGAGTGTGTGGATTTACAGCATACCAGCTGTGCTGTGAAAACTGCCTGTCACCCAGAGGTAAGCAGGAGATGGCTTGTGCCTCCAGGAAAGATCTGGCAGTTTAAAGGAGGCTTGAGAAACAACAAATAAAAGAAAATGGGGAAATAAATACAGAGGGGAAGGGAAAAGGAACATGAAAGATGACAGTAAAATCTGAGTCTGAGGTTCCTGGTGGTTTTCAGGGTGGATCTGGACAGGGCAGGGGCAGGACAGTCTCCAAGGCAGCGATATTACAGCTGTCCCAGCTATTCCCTTTCACCCCAGGTGCAGTAGGTGCTTTAGAGCCTTAAATTAGCAAAGGCTTCATTGCTTTGACAGGCAGCTGAACTGTGGGAAAGAGCCCGTGCATAACTAAACGGTGGTTCACGCAGAGTTCACAGGCATCGATGGGTGAATTACCCCCGTGTCCCCAGCGCTCCCAGGACAAGGCCCCAGCAAAGCCCAGGGCAGGTGATGGCGTGAGGGGCCCTCAAGATGACCACGACACCCCACGGTTTTGGGTCCAGGCCCTGAAAAGACACCGACACGTCTGGGTCTTAACGCGGGGTTTGCTGGCAGACAGCTCTGCGCGCCCTGAGCTGGGTGATGGGTGGGCACAGCCGGGGCTGGGCAACGGGGCAGGGGGCTGCAGCCCTTCCACCCACCGTGGCTAGGGTCATTGGCACAGTGGGGTCTGTCCTGAGCCCCTGGGGTTCACCAGAGCCGGCCACCCCTGCAGGCTCAAACACCTGCTGTGTCTGCAGAGAGGGCTGGACTTTATTAAACTTGAGCACGGGAAAGGAAAATACACCCGCCTCCTCCCGAGCATCCAAAAGAGTCCAAAACACAATGCTTGGGGGCAACAACCACCTGTGTGCCTTCTGTTCCAAGCAGCGTAGGTGGGATGCAACATTTGCGTGGAAAAGACCAAGCTGCTCTTTGGCTGTGTTAGGTACGAAGAGAAATGCAGTGGGGATCCTTCGGGCAGGCTGGGCTCCCAGCTCTCCAGGGGCGGATCGGGAAAACCAAGGGTCCCTTCCCATCCCGGTGTCCCCAGCTCACGCCGACAGCACGATGAGATCCTGGTGAAGCAAAGGGGTTACCTTCCCTCCGAACAGCCTCCGCGCAAGCCATGGGTGCTGCCTTTGCTCCGGAGCGGAGCTGAGGTGCGGTTGGGGGAACCTCGGGGCACAGCTGAAGGACTTACTTCCATGACGTCGATGTCTGCGTTGGTGAAGTCGATGTTCAGCAGCCTGGGGAGGGGAACCCCGGCTCCCAGCACGCCTGTGGGTCACAATCAGCACCGTGGGAAGGGGGCTGCCGCCAAGTTCTGCCCGGGGCTGAGTCCCCAACTCCATCCTCCCCGGGTGCGAAGCCCTCCGTCTGCCAGCCCAAGGCTCTCGGGAAAGGCGTTGTGTTGCAGGGCTTAGCGCATCAGCAAAATTATGGTTATTTGCTCCTGCCGGCGCAGGCAGGCAGCGAGCAGCCCCGCGGAGGGGGCTGTGGGGCCCCTGTTTTGTGACGTGTGGGTTCACCTCCCGGCAAAACGCTGCCATCTCCAACGAGCCTCCCCGCTGTCAGTGCAGGTCAGACCCAGCGGCTCCTGTTCTATACGGTCAGGTAAGTTACACCTGCATAAACTCACCGTACAGCGGACAGTCTAGCACACACGAATACATGGATGAGGCATAAACACTTCCTTACTGTTCATTGCAGGTAGGAAGGCAATGTTGAAAATCTGGCCAACGAGCATCTTCAGGAGTGAGACCTGCAATGGGAGAGGGGTCACTGAGTGCCATCGCTGGTCCCAGCCCCGTGGTCTGCCCGGCCTCACCCTGTCCTCGAGCACGTGGGGATGCTCCGCTCACACCAGCTGAACCCAGCCCGAACCCTTGGTGCTCCAGGTCCACACCCATCTGACACAAATTCCCAGTTTCAATGAAATTGGACTTTAGGCATTCTATGGTCAATTTTTAGTCCCAAACTAATCCCATTCCACAGGCCCCTTTCTACTGGTGTTAAAGCTGCCTTCAGTAACCACCTCTGGAGACCAAACGTGCAGGTATCCTGCGACAGGGGAGCCCGGGATTCCCCCTGACTTTTGCCATCATCTCCTACCAGGCACTGGGCTGAGCCTCCCCAGGCACATCCCGAGGGGACGTCGTGGCATGTGCGGCATGTCCTGTGGTTCACCGAGGAGCCCCAAACCTCTCCCTCTCAGTGAAAATCTTTTCTGAAAATTGCTCATGGATCATCCATGAAAAAAAAAAAAATCCATCTCCAGAGGTGAAAGAAAGGTGTTATTACAAATATGACACAACCGTTACACTGTAATTGGCCCTGATTTCTCCCGAGCCGATATCTATCAGCACTTTGCTTTCTGCAATAGATTTTGCATTTGCTGAGACTGCTTGTGTTCTTACATCAAAACCACCGATGGACGAAGACGCCAAGGAGAGATCAGCCCTGCAGGAGGAAGCAGAGGTGAGTAAAGTCCAAGCAGTTCCTCTGACGACCCAGTCCTGGCGATGCCCTCGCTGTCACGCAGCCTAGGACGTCCCACGTCCATGGCCACCCCTGGCCACCCCCAAGACGAAGACCGGTGTCTTACTTCTCCAGGCTGACATTGATCTTCAGTTTGTTGTCCTCGACTGAAAACCGGGCCAGCAAGGAGGTGTCCTGTGGTCAGAGAGAGAAGGCAGGGCAGGGGGTCTCCTCCAACCCTTGCCCAAGCCCACCACCCAGCCGTGTCACGTCAGGTGCAGGTCCCATCTACCAGCACCTCCGCACCCGTGCAGGGAGGGGGAAACTGCAGGAGGAATTTCTGCAGGGGTTTTTTATTTCATACATACAATATTCAGAAGGCAGAGAGACTTCTGGACATCATGTGGGTGGATCACCATCACCTCTGCTGTAGCCGTGAGCTGGATCACACCTTTATTTTTCTTTAAAGTCACCACCGGTGCTTCAGGGACTGCAATTTTCAGCAGCAATTCATGTGACTCGGGGTACGCCTTGAAAACCTGTCAACATCCAAAGGTGGAAAGTTTCTGCTGGCAAGAGCACAAACGGTGCTGACACTGGACCAGGCAGAACAAGTGAGTAAGCAGGAGCCAGAGGGCAGGCTGCCTGCTCCGGCAGTGTTCGCACAGTGCTGCTCTCGGGGCAGATGGGGTCCTGAGTGGCTCCAGACCAACGAGTCTGCATCTCAGCTGGCTCGGCCCCGTGGGCACCCTGAGCCTCGCTGAGAGCATCTCATCCCGGCTGGCGGACCACAGACAGCCCCACGTCCAGGCAGACGGGGCAGCTGCAAGGCTTGTCTGTCACCCGAGAGAGCTGCAGAAGACAGGGTGACAAACCGGGCTCTGGCCTGCCGTGGTTTCCAGTTTTGGACCTGAGTCAGAGCTCGTTCAAGTCCTTGGGACATCTGAGATGATGCCTCTGAGGAGGGAGAGACAGGGAGACCCCCTCCACACCTCTGGAGGCTGCTTCTCTGACCGGGTTACTTGCAGTGCAAGGGGGAACCAGGGCTCACCGCAGGAACCAGGGCTCCAAGGGTCGATGTTGTTAGTGGTGGGAGCTCGGGAAACTGTGACAGAGAAGAAAGAAATGCTGCCCGTGTGTGTGGCAGTTTTCAGCAGGCTCTGCTTTCACCAGCAGCACGCCTGAGCCTTTTGCCACGTGCTCCCTCACTCACATTTTTTGCCTGAGATAGCAGAGACCCTGATAAACGGTACAAAGATGCCAAGGCATCGCAGTTTGCTCTGCTGACAACCCCGAGCCCTTCCAAGCCCGAGCGAGGCAGTGGTCCCCGCTCACCATGCCGGTGGAGATGTCCAGGTCCAGGGCACCCTCCTTCTGCAGGACCGAGAGCACGGAGCCGAGGAAGTTCACGGAGAGGCCCAGCTGGGAGGAGCTGGTGTCTGCCATCGGTGGCAGGGGTGGCATGGGGACCCATGGTGGTGTGGGGACAGTTTCTGGCTTTCCCAGCGGATAGTCCACCAGGCCTCCCGCCGCTCGCCCGACGACAGTCTGGAGTCACAGGGGAAGGAAGCACAACCAAAATGTTTGCAATATTTGCCTTTATGGTTAACTTCGTGTTCCTTCAGTGGGAAATCACTGCACGCACGACCGTGCCAAGTCAGGCCCCGTGACACTTCCTTCTCCAGAAGTTGATGAAATGCAAACCCCGCTGCGCTCTCCCGTGACGGCGGCAGCAGCAAGAGCAGGGCACTGAGCCCAGACCTCCCCCAGCCTTTCACAGCCACCTCAGAGCCCACTGCTCAGGTGTAGGTGGCCCAAGGAGACCCTCCTGAACCCAAGTGAAATATCCCAACCCTTGTACATAGGTGGAAGGAGAAGATGCAGGACTTACATTCAAGTCGACCTCAAGGAACTGGCCGGTTACCAGCGGGAGGCTGGACACAGTGTACTGGATAGTGCCCAGCAAACCCAGGGGCACCAGTGCTGGGGGGAGACGAAGGGACTCAGCGATTCCCCACTGGGCTCGGGTGCAAATACCCCCTCCCTGCCCGGCAGCTCTTTTTCTTCCAGAAAAGCCCTGGCTCGCAGCTGGACTCGGAGCAGTCGCTTGACCCTGGCTCCGAGTGCTCTGTGCTGAGCAGTAATGCTGCAGAAAACATCATTTCCCTAACGAGCAGTACATGCCACTGCGGCAAATGGAGGAGAGAGCTCACAGCCCCCATCGATGGCCACCCTTATGCACCCAGAGGCCCTTCTGTCTGTGATTAGCGATGGGGAGAGGGGAGAGCATCCCTCCGGGCATGCTGGGGCACTGCTCCCTGGCTGCTGCCCCAGGGTGACAGGGTCTGGGCAGGAGCTGCCGAGGGTCCCCGCTCCCCATGTGGGGCAGACCTGGGGTCCGCGGGGTGAAGCAGGGGGTTTTGCTCTTCCCACCTGGGTGGCAGCGGGGTGGGCAATGTGTCATAGTCCTCACACAGCCAGAGCGGAGGTGACACGAGGGGCAAGGCACAGGACCCACCAAGTACTTACAGTTCACAAGACCCAGCTGGTCATTGACGAGTCCCAGGGCAACGTCAACCACAGGGCAGAGCTGCAAGAGTCGGGGAGGGACAGTCAGTAACCCACGTACGGAGCCGGACAAGGACACGCAGCCCAGCTCAGCTCTGCCTCGCTTTCCTTGGGGATGGGAGCACTGGGCGCGTGGGATCGCAGTCCCTGCTGGAAACTCCATGGTGCTGCTGAAGCTGCACCAGCTCTGGATCTGGCCCCGGGCACCTTGCCCTTTGTTGGAGAAGCAGGGTAAGGACTGGCTCCCAGGAGCCCATGTGGGATGGCTGGAGAGGCCCTGGGGCTTTCAGGAGGGAGGAGAGATTCAATCAGCCCAGAACATGGTCCAGGGCATCGTTAGAGACTCCCAGTCACTTGGGCAGACCTGCACTGGCCTTGCTGACCTTGTATTTGAAAGGAGGGAGCAGCTTCTCCAAGCAGATGGGGACATGGCATGTGTCCCCAGTAATCCCAAACCACTGGGGGGGCGGGTGGACGCAGCAGTCCTGGGGCAGTGGCCATGGCCCTGCTCCGGGACATGAGCGATGCCGTGGGCAGCTGCACCGCAGCTTTTCGGACTCATTGCTCCTTTCCAGGGTGGAGCTTTTTTCCGACTTACCAGATTAGGAAGAAGTCTATTCAGGACACTTGCCAATAAATTATCCACAACTGGGACTAGGCTGTGGAAAAATAAACGAGCACCATGAAAAAAAACTGCTGCAAAGTAAACGGGTCTTGTTAAACAATTCCCTGTGAATAGCGTAGAGCGCAGACCTCCTGGAGCAAGGCGACTGCAGCAGCAAAGTGCATCGTGTGTGCTCGGATTTTGCATGAGATAAGTGTAATTTGCATCCCAAAATAGCCAGTGGGAAATTTATTGCTGCCTTTTATCTACTAGTGTACAGTCTCTTTAAATGAGCAGCGGCAACCTCAGCCCAAGTGGTTTCTATGATTCACATACCAAGTGCTTACGTCTCAGAAGACCCCGTGCAATGTCAGTTGAAATGACCCGTGACTGCGGCCCGTGGGACAGAAACGTCTCTCCGGGACCGCTGTGGGGTCGTGCAGCCCTCCGGACATCGTATCCGTTTTTGTGTGGCTGTGGGACGGGCACACAGGGACCGCCACCGCCTGCAGCCCTTTGCTCACCCCTGTGACACGGCCGGTCAGCGACCATCACCGGCTGAGATGCGCAATGGGAGATGCCCTCGAGCGTTGGCTGTTCTGCGGGTGCGGGCTGGGGGCTGGCAAAGCCCCATGGCGAGGTGGCTCACACCAGCAGAGGAGGACACCTCCATCACTCACCCTCTCAGGAGTCTGACTTTAATGCCGCCAAGGAGGGTATTGCATCTCTCTGTCACCAGTTTGGGGTAGCCTGTGCCATCCATGGTGAGCCCGACCCTTGATGTGATGTTCACTTCCACCGCGATGTCAAGCAAACCCAGGAGGCTGCGCAAGGGGAAGAGAGCAAGCTTCAGAGGAGCAACCGCTTCGCGGCAAACCGGAGCCGTCTCTGTCCCCTGGAGACAGCCCTCATGGTGGTGCTTCCACCAGGCCCGGGGGCACGGCTGGCACTGCTGCCAGCACC